TTTTTTTTTTTTTTTTTTTTTATCCAAACAACTTAAATTGCCATGGAAGGGGCTGCCATCAAAGTGAATATGGCACAAAAATTTCTATCAATTTTCATTAAATTTAACTACTATTTTAATTTTAAAATAACTTAGGAATTTATTTATGATATTTAAAGTGAGAATTTATCACGACGACTAAATGAGATGCAATATTATATTTGAAGGGTTTTGGCTCAGAGTAGAGACTAATGGGTTAGGGTCGGAATGGACAAACGTGCATGCACGAACGATGTGTATGATGAAACAAGTCTAGTTGCTAGGGGAGGGGTAAGAAATATAAAAATTGTTTTTTTTTTTAAATGTTTTTTCCCCGAAACGTGGAAGGATTTTGCAGCTTCAAAGGAAGCTCACATCGGAGTCAAAAGTGGTGAGAAAGGTAAATCGACCGTCAACAGACCCACTCGGTTCACCTTCCCTTAGCTTTCTTCAAACAGCACGTGCTTTCTTGTTCGTCTTCTTCTCTATAAAACACGAACACCCATCTCCTTCTTCCCCAAAACAAAAACATTGGAGCTCTGTTTTTTCAGACATTCTGAAACGCTAACCATAAAGGGTCTGAGAAAAAACAGCTGATTTGCCTCTGTTATCGTTTGATTTTGAAGATGGCTGAGAATCAAGCTTTTGGTGTTTCCACGGCGGCGGTTCCACAAGGTGGTTCCAAGTGCTTTGACGACGACGGCCGGCTAAAGCGAACTGGTATAACATTTCCAACAGTTAAAACAGAGTCCTCTGTTTCTTCAAAAAAAAAAAAACAGGGTCTTATGGTGTTTTTGTTTTGAAAAAACAGGGAATGTTTGGACAGCTAGTGCTCACATTATTACAGCCATTATTGGCTCTGGCGTTCTTTCATTGCCGTGGGCGACGGCACAGCTCGGCTGGATCGCCGGTCCGTTGGCTATGTTCTTGTTCGCAGTAGTTACTTATTACACTTCCCTTTTTCTCTCCGCCTGTTACCGGTCCGGCGACCCTGTTTCCGGCAAGAGAAACTACACTTACATGGATGCCGTTGAGGCCAATTTCGGTGAGTAAAATCCCAAATTTATGGTCGTTTTATTCCAAATTGTCAAGAATGATTCAAGAATTTTCCCCCTTAACCTTATATGCTCTGTTTTTTCTGATTTACAGGCGGTTTTAATGTGAAATTATGTGGGTTTGTTCAATACTTGAGTCTTTTCGGAATCGCAATTGGCTCTACAATTGCTTCAGCCATAAGCATGATGTGAGGGAACTTTTAAAAGCTTTTTCTTCTTGTTCTTGTTCATTTCTGATGTTCTTCAGGTGATCTGAAATTTGCAGGGCAATTAAAAGGTCAAATTGCTTCCATGCAAGTGGTGGGAAAGATCCTTGCCCAATCAATAGCAATCCGTATATGATTGCTTTTGGGATTGTTGAGATAATTTTATCACAAATTCCAGATTTTGATCAGCTATGGTGGCTCTCCATTGTCGCTGCTGTCATGTCTTTTACTTACTCAACTATAGGACTCGGCCTCGGAGTTTCCCGAGTCGCCGGTAAATTTTCCGACATCTCTGTTCCTCTGTTCCTCTGTTCTTTGATGTTTTTCTTGGAGATTCTGACCCTGTTCTTGTTTGTTCTAGAAACTGGGGAAATCAAAGGCAATTTGACTGGAATCAGCTCAGGAACTGCCACTCAATCCCAAAAAGTTTGGAGGAATTTCCAAGCTCTTGGAGACATTGCTTTCGCCTACTCGTACTCGATGATCCTCATCGAAATTCAGGTACGATCTCTCGTCGGTCGTCGTAATCTATCAGCTTAAACTTTCAAGTTCAGTGACGGAGATATGAAGCTATGAAACAGGACACAATTAGATCGCCGCCGTCAGAGGGGAAGACAATGAAGAAGGCAACACTAGTGAGTGTGACGGTGACAACACTATTCTATATGTTGTGTGGCTGCGCCGGCTACGCCGCCTTCGGCGACATGTCGCCACCGAATCTACTGACCGGATTCTATACTCCTTATTGGGTTATCGACATTGCCAATGCCGCCATTGTTATCCACCTTGTCGGAGCTTACCAAGTGTACTGCCAACCCATTTTTGCCTTTGTGGAAAAGTATGCGTCGGAGAAGTTTCCGGCCAACAAATTCATCACCAAAGAGATCGAAATTCCGATCCCCGGCTTCCGGCCGTACAAATTCAACCTTTTCCGGTTGGTTTGGAGGGCGGTTTTTGTGATTGTAACGACCTTGATCTCCATGCTTCTACCGTTCTTCAACGACGTCGTTGGACTCCTTGGAGCTATTGGATTTTGGCCTCTTGCTGTCTATTACCCTGTTGAGATGTACATTCTTCAAAAGAAGATACCTAAATGGAGTTCTAGATGGGTGCGCTTCCAAATCTTGAGCGTCGCCTGTCTTATAATCTCGATAGCCGCCGCCATCGGTTCGGTCGCCGGAGTTCTTATTGATCTGAAGAGCTACAAGCCTTTTACCACGAGTTTCTGATTTTCAATTTAACCTTTAACCTCCATAACAATCAGATCGAAAGATAACTAAAAGTATTTTTAGTTTCCGTCTCTGCCACTCATTTTAATGTTTATTGTTTCAAAATTTCTATATTTTTACCATCCAACAGTAGAAATTCTCCATACAAATTTACAGAGATCAAGTTTTCTCTTATATATTTCTTTAAAAAAAGTTTAGTGAACAATACTAAAATTATAAAATATTTTAATAAATTCAAAAATATAATTACATATGTATATATATATATATATATATATATATATATAAACATGGTGTTACTCAAAAGGTCTTTGGGACCATTTTTCAAACAAATTTCCATCAAATCCCAATAGGTCAAAAAGCAGTAAAGGTTTATTCAATTTATATTTTTATAAATTTAATTTTATAGTATAAAATCAGGTAAAATTTGTGGGGATGTGAACTCGTGTTAGCTTTGAGTGAAAGTAAACACGACTCAACGAAAATTGAAAAAAAAAAAAGTTGTTCCGGTGAAAGTTATGTTAATTATCGAACATATTTTTTAATATTTTCGTAATTCTCTTTATTATTGGTAACCATTGACTTTCAATGCATACAAATTTCATCGTAAAGCAAGCACTTTGTTCTAGAATATGTCTATCATAAACGGTTGTATTTTGTTAATTTGAGTATAACTTAACATCGATTACTGTCTCAAAGTTTGATGGTTAGTTTTATTATCGTGTGATAAAAAGATTTGTTTTTTCTCTGCCTTAGCTAAGCAATTTGAATAATTCAAATCCAAGATTGAAGCAAAGAAGTTGAAATTTGAGTTTTTTAGGCTTGTGTTTGATTCACCTGTCTTAATAATCTTGTCGGGATTATGGAGTTAACATGAGCTCTAACATCAAATGGGTTGAAAGGATAGGGCTAAGAAGCTAGAATAGAGCGTTACAATATTATCTGAAACACGAAAGAAAGATGCTACTAAAAGTTGTAGTATTGAGATATGGAAGAACTATCACAATATTACTGTAAGAAAAACAACAAAAGTACTTTTTTGAATACGAAAGAAAGATGGTCGTACAATATTATTGAGAGAAATGACAAGAATAGTTTATATCAACGTTAATACGGATTGCAAAAGGTAGCCCTAAAAATCAAACCAACCCAATAATATTTATGGGTGAGAACGCCGGAAAGTCTCAAGTCGAGAGCCGCCCACTAGCGGCGGCTTCGTCGCAGGTGGGTTGGTTTCGTGATGTTTCTGGGAAGTTCATATTTTCATTGGAAAAGTAATTGCTGTCGTTCTCTTACCTTCCCTTTTGCATTTGTCATTTGTTTGGACGAGGTAAAGGCCATGATATGTTTGTTTATTTTTTTACTTTGATATTGTTTCGATTGGATTAATGATTTAACGGGAAAGGCAAAAGCTCCATACCGAGAAACTGAATTTTATGAACGTGAATGTTTTCTTCTTATCTTCAACCAGAGTGTTATTACGAAAGTTTATCAACTAGAGATGTCTACGGGACAAGGATGAAGAAGCCTTCTCCATTATAATTATAGTTTCAAAACCTTAAATATTGTAATAGGTAAGTAATAATATTCATACGAAGCCTCGAAATTAATTGTTTAAACCCCAAGTTTCACGATCGTGATAGAGCAAGGCAAGGATGATGAATACAATTCTATCCCCAACCTTGTTTATCTACCCTAACCTCGTTTATCCAACGAGGAGGAATCTCACTTTACTCCCTCTTCTCCTATTCCCCCATTTGAATGGAAATTTTTTCACCCCATTTGAAGCGGGTCTCCATGAGATCACAAGCTCTAGGATAAATGGACCTCCTTGAAGAAATTTGTGTTTGAAATATAAAAGAGACTCGCTAAATCCGTAGTACGAAAAGAATCACTCAGAGGGGAAAAAGAATACAAAAGTTGATTAAAAAATTTCCCAAGGTTACACAATTCAAGGATACTCTTACAACAGATAATACAAATGGTTTGAATGTACACTTTCACCGAATACAGTATACAGAAGAAAGAAAGAGGAAAATGGAAGAAATACTCTACAATAGCAATGAATCTGGCGCAAATTTAAAGAATTATCAGCATTATTTCGAAGTATGAAACTATGATTTAGCCCATGGAATAAAATTTTCAAGTAGTCACGACCTTATAGATCTTTCTCTGAGAACATGTTGAACACAATATTAACAGCCAAATGGCCTCAAGACTGACCTGCAGGAAGCAGACGGCTCTTGCCATGGTAGTTTGGTCGTCTCCCCCTGATTAGGTACTCATACTTTGCAGGTGACATGGTGGTTGAAAAGAAACAATCATCCGAGGTTGTGTCTAAAGTTCCTCTTTGCTGAATTTATTCCAGGCTTCCTGTTTCAATGTAAGACAGAAATGATGGTAATAAGACAGTCAAAACAAGTAAACTGAATTAGACTTTGAATCTAAAAGAAGTCGTGTATTGAACAACCAATTGTTTGGACAAGAAAGATGAGAATGTGAGATCCTACTCAGGTTGGGGAAAAGAACGAAACATTCTTTATAAGAGTGTGTGGAAACCTCTCCCTAGCAGACACGTTTTAAAAACTTTGAAGGAAAGTCCAAAAAGAAAAGCCCAAAGATGACAATATCTGCTAGCAGTGGTCTTGGGCCGTTACAAATGTTATCAGAGCCAGACACCGGGCGATGTGCCAGCGAGGAGGCTGCGCCCCAAAGGGGGTGGACACGAGGTGGTGTGCCAGCAAGGCGCTGGGCTTCAGAGGGGATGGATTGTGAGATCCCACATCAGTTGGGGAGGAGAACGAAACATTCTGTATAAGGGTCCGGAAAGAAAAATCCAAAGGGAACAATATCTGCTATCGGTAATCTTAGGCCGTTCCAGAGGAAGACAGTCATAGATCAATCCTTTGTCTGTTTATTTCTCCTAGGATTACAATAGTTTGTCATAGAAACATTCCAAGTAGGAAATCATTTGGTACTTTTATAATTCTATAACAATCAGTATCTGCATTGGAGACGACCTAAGCTCAACGAAAATTTTAAATAAAAACAAACAACCCATTCTCTAAACATGTAACCAAACTCAAAAGATCATACACCTTATCGTTCGAAAAACAGAAACCAAGTCGAGATGCTAACATGAAGCTAAGGATGCTAAAAGAAGAAAATGAAATATTGGCAAGTCACCTTAAGGATATCAAAAACCTTCTCTGCTGTATATTTCTGCTCAATACTGGCACCCTTCTGTTGTACCTTATCCGGATGAATGCACAAGACTGCCTTCCTGTATACTTTTTTAACTGAGGTAGAAGTAATCATATCCGTCAATGAAACTGGCTCCCAACCGCATCCCGACCAGAGAACCTAATCACCAGTAGAGTGGAGATTAATCAGCATGCTAGTAAACGAATCTATATTGTTGCCAATTACAGCTAGAGAATCTGGACTGGTTGAACGTGTGAACGTATTTTAAAGTTGATGGCTTTTATGAAAATATTCTTCGTTATGATCATGGGGTGCAGCCACCAGCCCATGCTTCTCTAAGAATATAACTATTCAAGTGTCTACAAGAAGTTATGTATGTTTATGTATACATCCTTATAAGCATTACCACATGTCATGCAAAAGGTCAGGGAAGTAAACACATTTTACGAATGCTACTATTTACAATATTACCAAAAGAGAATCAATGGACTTAAGCTTGTTTGTCTCTCCTCAAACCAGCCTACTGCAAGGTAGCTTTATTGAATCATGTTGCCAATATTAACTTATCTACCAACGAAGTCAAAAGAAAAATTTATACAGTTTAGGTACTTTGATTTTTGATTATCCTCAATACTAGCCTACAAAGGTACTATGGTTTTTCATTATCCTCAATACTAGCCTAGGCTTCTCTAAATCCTGAGTCTTTACCATCACAGATCCCTACAGGAAATACATCATAAACAATTCCAAAGATGAGAAGTTTTTTTCTCTCCATGAAGGGGAAATGCAGAAGCAGTTTAAGGTCAACAACTCTTTTAGAATAAGATCTTTAACTCTTCTAGAACTTCTCCTCTTCCTGTATTCAGCTTCTTTCCTTCCACATAAATAAGGTCTCAAATTTCAAGTTTGTCACTATAAATACTTGCTGGTCGCTTACAATAATACTTGGGATCTTCAGCTGAGAAGATGTTTAATGGAAAGAAAATTAGAGGAATGACCAATAACTTTGAATCTTCTTGGCGCCCTCCTGTTCCCCCAAGAAGATTGAAGATGAGATTTTTTAGTTTATTTCAGGCTGATGGTTAAAAAGAAAAGAGTATAATCCATTGCTCAAAGGCTTGTAGAGGTCTCTTTGGCTTCTTCAGAAGAAAGGATTTCTAGATGTTTCGCATATAAGTTCACCACTTTTGTTAAATTTAGTGAACATATTCAGTAAACAACCACCAACCGAGTGCTTTACACAAATCCTTGCATAATATTCCCTCTTTCCCTTTTCTTCGATTTCTCCTTTCTATGCCTATGGATCCTATCCCTAAGGCCTTTAGGTTGAGCTTATTTTTTGGTGTGTGACTCCATTTCTCAAAATAAATAAATAAATAATAATAAATAGAGAGAGAAAAGCTAATCGAAATGCTCACATGGAGAATAATAGAAAATAACGGACACTAGGTAAGGAACATTAGAATGAGAGAGAAAAACTAAAACTAAGAAACACACATATTGCAATGACGATAACAGTGCACGAATGTTGCCTTCCTTCCCTGCAGCCCAGCGCTTGATATCAACATCTAAAGACTCAGCAAACCTCTGGTCAAATCAAACAAAACTGGAAATAAACCAACCAAGCCTTTGGATTTAACCAAAATGAGAATTATAACTGTAAGTCAAAACACAATTGAGCAATTGAATACTAACACGCTTCTCTTCTTGCTCATGCTGTGTTTGAAAATCACGCTGATTCAAATCAGCCACTGCTCTTGCCTGAAAATAAAACATTAAGATGGTGCAAATGTTCCTGATAAAGATGAACAAAAAAAGAAATGCAAAATCCATAATCAGTTTGCCAAAATTACTAGGAAGTCTATGCCTATGCCTCAAATCCCACTAGGAATCGATTTGAACTGCTTTTAATTCAATGAATAAGAACATCCATCTAAGAAGAGAAATCTAAACTCTAATAGGTACAAATTGTAATAAAGAAGAAAAAAGAGAGAAAGAGAAGCACAAACTGCTCGCTCTTGGGTTCTCTGGAAACGCCCCATTCTAGCTCTTCTTCTTTCTTCACTCTCCCCAGCAACTTCTTCAAAATGTCCAAATGAAGGAGCATCTACCATGAGAGAAAAAAGGGATTGGGGAAAAACAAATTTTTATAGATTGAAGGAAAAAACAATCGAGAAAACTGTAGTCAATTGCATATAGTCATAGCTGAAGCTGCATTCCATGGTATGTATATCACCTCCGAAAACCGACGAAAGATCGTCCACAAGATTAACAGCAGAAGAAGCAGTTTTGGGAATTTCAGATGGTTTGTTGTATTTAGGAACGTCAAATAGAGGATCCTGAAAAATAACACCACAACATTAACAGACGTGTCCATCTGGTGGTTTAGGATACAAATAAACAAATATATATTGTTTTAACTGCAACCAATTTTCATATTCTTTTTTCTTTTGTACAAGCATTGGTGGTGTTAAGTGGTTACCGGAGTCGTCGTTTGTGACCTTGGAACACTCCGTGATCGAGGACCCACGTTGAAAAAGGAGTCCAGATCGTCAACAGTCTTATGATGATTTACTCCTGCAGCATGTGCAACATGACAATTTCTACTCATGTGTGTTGAGGCATTGACTTTCCCTTCACTGTTATTCTGCATCTTCCCCCTAGCAAAGTTATCCAATTCATCTATAGGAGAGGAAGAGGAGCTCTTAACTGCACAGAGCATCTTCATATTGTCAAATTTTGATGAGATTGGGCATATCAATACTTATGAATTTAGGGAAGCTGAAGCACCTTTATCTTCCTTATGACCTGGCTTTGGTATCCGAGGAATCCTGAATGGTGAGGAAGAACTTGGGGGGCTGTCAAATTTTGAAGCTTCAGACGAATTATAAGACGGTATTGAAGTCGATTCTAGTTCTATAAAAGGAACTTTGGCTGAACTGACAGTTGATTGCTGGGTCAGATTGTCTGGCATGCTTGCCCTGTGCAAACAAGTAAGATTAGAACGCACCAATTGTATGAGTAATCACACTTACGAGAAAAATAGAGATGCATCAATAAAAACAACACGCACGGAAATCATCTAGTCAAAAATATGCAGGAACAAAATTGAATGAGAGCTTGGGAAGGCACATAGGGTATACAGAAAATAGATTTCTACAATAATCAAGACTTTATTCCCACATTGAAGAGAGTTTCTCTTGGCATACAATATTGTAAATGGTCTACTATGATTAAAGAAAAATTGAAAGGCAGCCATGGTATTCAATTGCAAATATGTTTCATTCCAGTTATATGTTTGTACTTCATTAACAATTCAATACAATGCTGTTGATTGGCGATGGCTCGTATGAATTTGCCTTGGAAGCAGAAACGAATAGTTGTAGGCATATAGGACAGTTCAGGTAATTAATGAAAGTCAAAACTTAATTTTTACATTTGAATGGTTGCATATATGGCAACCAAAATAAGGAAATGACATGCATTTTATCGACGACAGGTTACAGATACAACGAGAAACTAATCTTACAGTGAAGGGAATGAAACTGTGATGCCAAAATGAAGCTAAATTCTATGTCAATCTTTTCCTAAGTTCAATTCACACCGGCATGATGATACAGTAGATTCACCAACAAAAAGCAGAACCTAAACCATAATTTTCTCATACCAACGACATAATGTAGGCCAGTTTTTCAAGCATCTACATTGATTATACCTGTTAGTTCGAGAGTTGTTATTGCCAAAGCCAGAAATGAATTCATCAAAAGGAGCTGCGTTATTTGCTGCATTTTTTAATCCGTTCAGCTTCGGGGAAGTTTTTCCCACATTGCTGCCAAAATCACCAAACAAATCACCAATTTGAGAGGTCTGATTCAAAGACGAGGGGAATGATCGGACAGGATCCTCCTTCTTCGCTGTAACCGAGCTCTTGAATCCGGGAATCCCACCAAAAACATCATCATATGTTGGATCTGAATTTTTCGACCCAAAAAATATGGAATCGTAGTCAAAAGAAGACGGAGAACTTCCAGAATTCCCCGAATGTTTCGTTGACTGGTTGAGACTCCCGAAAAGACCATCGTAATCATCAAGCCCTCCGTAATTATCGGGTTTAGTATTTTTCTGAAAAGATACGTCAACAAAACCAGAGTCAAACGAGGATTTTCCGTTCAAACCCGAATTGTACCCGGAATTCCGGGACTGGAAGGTGTTTGAAGGAGATGGTGCCTTAGATGCGGCCATTGGAGCCGATTTTCCTTGCGGCTTCAATCCAAATCGTTCTGTCAATACCCCAAACTCGTCCATTGCAGGCGTAATCACAAATTTTCAACAATGTGATCAAAAGTAAACCCAATAATCTTCAAAGCAAAAGCGAGCAATTAAACTGTCTTCAAATACGAATTCTGAAGTGAGAAAGAACACAGAATTAATGCCGCAGATAATTGAAGCATAAACATCAAACAAGCTTCAAAAACAAATCGTCCAAAGGAAGGAGAAGGTAAATCAATCAAAGATATCACAACTTCGTGGCCCCTCCGCTTCTCCCTCTCCCTCCGTACGAATATATGAGTGGAAGCCACCACGCATTCTGCAACATCAAATTATGATTTGTTTCTATTCTATTTCCCGTTTCCGAGTCCGTGTCGGTGTGAGAGAGAATTTAAATTTATATATATACTTTTTTTTTTCTTTGTTTTTTTTCTTAGATTAGTAAAAATGCTATTAAACATTTTATTTAGTTTCAAAAAAATAATTTAATATTACCTTTAAACTTTTAAAATATTAAAACTAATAAAAGAATCTCGAAATTATTGTACCTTTAAATTATTAGTAATTTATTTATTTCAAAAATAATTTTTGAAGTTTTAAAAATAGCATAAACGTCTAAAAAAATTCAAAAAAAAAAAATTAATTTTTAATTTTTAATATTTTTATTTTAACTTTTATTCTTTTGTAGTTTAGCATACAACCCCTAAAATTCATCGGTCTCGTGCAACCGTGTCGTCGGAGGAGCGAAATCCGGCGCCCATTCTATACCAAATTGGATTGGAACGCAGCCTGCTGAAATTCGAACCACCATCCTCGCAGGCTCGCACTAATCATTGCCATTCACCGGCCACTAAGCGATAGGAATTTGTTCGATCGCGCCGCCGTCGTTTCATTCTTCCATTGAAGCGAGGAAGAAGATAACAACGGTGCGACACGCTAGCCTGTTTTGTGTTTTCGTTACTTAGTTCTACTGTTACTCGTTGGATTGTTTATAGATTTATAAGTTTCTCAAGTTCTGTTCCATTTTCTCTTTAGCGTCCTTCGAAAGTTCAAGCTAGCTATAGTTTGGTTTGGGAATATGCTTAATTTCTGTTCCAACTATGTGTTTAAGAAGCTCTGCAGCTACTTAAGTGATGGTTTTTTCCATAATCGCATCTGTAGTTACTTGTTTTCATGTTATTGACATTGTTTGAGGCAAAGTTCAATTCTGTGTACCATGATGAGAATTTGCAGCTATGAGAGAAATAAACTTCCACTATGTAGATTGTTGGCTAGGCTGTACAGTTCTGGTGAACATGTTGATACAATCTCGGATTCAACCAAGAGTATATGTAAAATCATGATGACATGCCAAACACTGGCGCTTGAAACTGCCCTTGACCAAAGTGGGATTAGGATTTCACCTGAGATAGCTGAGGCTGTCCTAAAAAGATTTGAGAATGCTGGCATGTTAGCTTATAGGTTCTTTGAATGGGCTTCCAAACAACGAAGCTATGTCCATAGTGTGAGGGCTTACCACTCTATGATTGAGTCTTTAGCTAAGATAAGGCAGTACCAGATGGTGTGGGATTTGGTGAATGTTATGAGGAATAAGGAGATTCTAAATGTTGAGACGTTCTGTATTATCATGAGAAAGTATGCTAGAGCCCAGAAAGTAGAGGAAACAGTTTATACATTTAATATCATGGAAAAATACAACATGAAACCAAATGTAGCCGCATTTAATGGATTGCTGAGTGCTCTGTGCAAGTCCAAGAATGTGAGGAAGGCTCAGGAAATTTTTGACAGTATGAAGGATCAATTTGTTCCTGACTCGAAAACTTACAGCATACTCATTGAAGGATGGGGTAGGGCTCCAAATCTTCCAAGGGCAAGGGAGATTTTTAGAGAAATGATTGATAGCGGGTGCATTCCTGATATAGTGACATATAGCATTATGGTTGATGTTCTTTGCAAAGCAGGACGAATCGACGAAGCAGTTGGCGTTGTAAAAGAAATGGATTCTAATAATTGTGGACCGACATCGTTTGTCTATAGTGTTTTGGTACATACGTATGGTGTAGAAAATCGGATCGAGGAGGCAGTCTCTACGTTCTTGGAGATGGAAAGAAATGGAGTAAGGGCTGATGTAGCAGCATATAATGCTTTAATCTCTGCGTTCTGTAAAGCAAACAGGATTAAGAATGTGTATAGGGTGTTAAAGGACATGGAATTAAAGGGTGTTAGCCCCAATTCAAGGACTTGCAACATCATTATAAACAGCTTAATAGGCAGTGGTGAGACAGATGAGGCGTTTAGGATGTTTCGTAGGATGGTCAAAGTGTGCGAACCAGACGCAGATTCGTATACCATGATCATAAAAATGTTCTGTGAGAGGAAGGAGGTTGATATGGCTCTTAAAGTCTGGAATTATATGAAGAAGAAGCAGTTTGTTCCGAGCATGCACACGTTTTCTGTTCTTATTAATGGACTGTGTCAGATAGGCAATGCTACAAAAGCTAGTGTGTTGTTGGAAGAGATGATAGAGAAGGGAATACGGCCTTCTGGTGTCACATTTGGAAGGTTGAGACACTTATTGATCAAGGAAGGCAGAGAAGATGTTCTAAAATTTCTGCAGGACAAAATGACTTTACTTGTCAAGGAGCCAATGTGTGATTGAGGAACTTGGCTGAATGATGCGCTGCTGTTCAAAATTCCCATCTTTGCTGGATGGACTATTAAAAGAGGTCTGCTTTCTTTCTGCCTTTGTAGGTACCATATGTTATTTCTTTAAAACGCAAGGATTCATAGTTCCCCATATATCATCATCTTATTGCAGGCTAAATGTCATCTAGTTTCTGTTTCTTCCTTCCTTCTGTTGCAGAGCTGAAATGCAAAAGCAGAGAAAGAAAGATGGTCAAAATGATTTGAGCTGCCACTTGCTACTGCTGAATTTTATGTACAACCATTTCCATTGGGGTAACAAGGGAAATGTTTCTCAACCTCTTTGCTCAGATTTTTTTTTTTTTTTTTTTCATCAGATAGCACTAAGTGGAGTTATTGAGTCTTTGGTTGTTTTGTCTAGGGAGTTAATTAGTTCGTAGAGTTAAATAATTTATGATTGATGCATAGAGTTGCTACAATTTCATTGATGATTAAAATTTACAAAAGGGATGTATAATCCATGGTGCTTACAAAAGACCTTTCGAATTTGTAATGAGGGAGGTATAGCTATAGGAAGTAAAAATATTAGACAATTTACACCGAAATATAGCTTGGTAAACAACATTGTCGAAAAGTTTTACATAGGTCTGGATTTAAGTGTTAAACTCTTGATGGCTTGAATTCGGAATATGTCCGATAAATGTTAGATTCTATCTATTTTTTGGTTTAGATTTGGAATAGAATTTTAATATGTACATTGTGGAGTTATTTTGAGATATGAAATAGCATGCAGTACTCCTATAATTTGAACTGTTATTGCAAATCTGTAAAGTTTTCAAGATCAATATGAAGTGTTCTAGATTCAATAGCAGGCGATAGGACCTCTAATCAGGAGACATGCCGTACATTTTTTACTTAATCAACGGAGAAAATGTTTGAAGGCAGTAATTGTTAATATTATGATAGTTATGAATGTAGTAACTGTTCCCACAGCCGGCTCTCTCCTAAAACGAAAACAAAAACACAACTAATCAGCACCATAATGTGCAGTGATCCTGCAGGAGCTAAGGGTAAAAAGAAAATCTCAAAAACAACGTTGTTCCTCTCTGAAGAACTTAGTTACAATCTCAGTGCCTTTTGGCTCTAGATTCAGATTTAGAAAGTGCCACGCTCGAAAACTTGTTCAACTCATACAGCAGTCCAGCGGAGAACAAGAAACTGCAACAGAAGAAAACAAGAAAGATGTGAAGTTAGAGTTTCAAGATACTCGATGTTTCGGTGCAATCAATCATAAGGAACGTGCTGTTCTACTATTTAATATAATGGCTATAAACATACGTCTAGAATTTGTTCCCTTCCCTTCTGAAATATTTGAAATTAAGTTACCATTATGAACATTTGATATTAGATTATGACAGGATAAGTTTTGTATCTTATAATCTTCGCTTTTGAATCGTTATGATATGAGTTCTTTATAGTGGTTCCTTCTGCATTTCTTTCTTCCCACGGGAAGTAGCTATGAACACAGTAAAGAATATGGATTAAGTCAGGATACCATGTTGTGATGCAAACTCTATGAACAGTGCTTGCAGCAATCAATGCAACTGCTTCTGCTACGATGACTGCAACAGAAAAGTAAATGGTTAGTTGATTCTGCCTCATCTCAAGGAAACTGGCAGATGTGGGCACTATTATGCTATTCTTTATCATAATATATGATCTACTGACTTAACTCACATAAAGGTATTCAACAAACATCAATGAAAATTCGTTTGTTATGAAAGAACATAAAGGAAAAGAGTATCTAGTACTAGGAAAGTACTACTTTAAACAATGAAATTTTCATTTCATTAATAACGCACAAATCAAATGGAGTACATGATTGACAAGTTTCCATTCAATAGCATAATCAATGCAGCATAAGATGAAGAAGAAAAGGCCAAAAATACAGAAATAAACCCATACAGATTTCTTTCAACTCAATCATGAAAATAGATTGTGGCTACCATGAGTGTGTGCCTACCCCATAGTGTCAGGATTGCTTACTTATCCTAACAGTTACGAACATTTATAGAGAACAGATATGCTTGTTGCAGGTAACTATAAAAGAAATCATCAAACGTTTCCAATCTGCAGCATTAGTACTAAGACAATATTTTCTAAACAGTCTGTGCTTTCCATGAAACCTATACTCGAGAGACATCAATGGGTTTCCTCTCCAGATTGTGACTATGACTTTCTCCCCTATCACCACAGCCATTAATGCACATTCCGACGACTGGCCAAGCGAATAAGTCAATTTGGATCTTGTTCCCGGAAGTCAGAACGAATACCGAGACTCCTTTCTTTCAGACCTTATTAGTTATTCAAGCGGATCACTTGGTTTGTAATGTCCCAATAATTCAAAATTCGCAACCGCTAAGTTGGTGCTACTCAGACACCGTGAGCTAGTATTGGACAAACTAATTAAGCAGAAAAAGAAAAAATATTGTGCAGAAAAGAACAAGCAACTAAACTTACCAGCTCCCCATCCAGTTCGCATGCCACATGATTCCTGGAAGTTTCCTATAAACTGCAATAAATAAATCAAGAAAATGAAAATTATTATGCTGAATCAGCAATTTAAGCTGAAAAGCACTAAATACAAATTAAGCTCATAAACTGCACGCTGTAATTGAAGCAAAAAAACACGGTCATAAGTACAAAATTCTGTAAGCATGCAACAGTTTGCATGAGTTATGCGATGCATAACTTATCTAAAAACCATGAAATACAACTGATTCCATTACGTTTGATAGCAAGCAAAACCAGGTCCAAAATGTCGTAATCATTTATAATTTGAAATATCATCTCTTAAAAAACAAGGAGATTAGAATTGAAAACATCAGAATATTGCAGAAATCTTTGTAACTTATAATTCGTAACCGATGCAAAATGGAAGTCAACGAAATACTGCACATTTTTATTTAAATCACTTATTCAGTGTCCATGTAATTGACAAAAGATGTTATGAAGGTGGATTCAACTGCCTCAAGGACGGAATTAAATACTGATAAAACATGAACTATTCCATAAAATATCTGTAAACTCCCCATCCAGAAAAAGCCACCGGATCCAGAAATACACATGAAGATAAAATAAATCCACACGTTAGTCTAGCTGGTAAAAGGATAAAAGCGTTTGCACTCACAGTTAGAAGCACTAGAAATAGAAGAGAACTGATGAATCCTCCAAGTATGGTAAACAACTCCGATGAAGCTAACTTTCCTCTATACATCTCTTGAAGCGAAAGAATGACAGTGAACAGAAGAAATGAGGTAAGCATGGAACTCCCAGACCCCGCCATGACCTATAGTAATCACAAACACAAAAACGTCATAACCAATAGTCAAGCATCAAACCACGAGGAATGACAGCAACAGAAATCAGAAACCAGCTAAACAACAAGATGTGCGATCAAAATGAGCAGCAATCAAACAATTGCAAAAGAAAAGAAAATGCGGATCCGAAACAACAGAAGGTACAAAAATCTCAGCGACACTACAATCAATAGATTAGTTTTGGATAACCTAATCGAAATATCAGAGGCAATCCAAGTCAGAATAAAGAAAAATTATTCGAAACAAAAACCAACGGAAGATGCAATTCAGAACAAATTCCACTCAATCAAATCGGAAAAGTGGTAAAATTTTAGATCCAGTTGAATCTTTTCCCCAGTATTTGCCCACTTACAAAAGAGATCGAAGGAGCGGTAAGCAAATACCTCGGGCAGCAGCTCTATTGCAAAGGCTTTCGTTTCTTCTCTGATGACGCGTCGACGGTCTATGTCGAAGCTAGTCTCCTTATTAACCTGTTCGGCTGCTCAGAAGTTTTTAGCAACTAAACGGTGTCGTATCAAAAATTTTATTATTATTATTATTATTATTATTTGTAAATAGAGGACTAATATTCAACATTAACCATAAGTTGTTCAACATTATGATCTTAAAGGAAATAGTAAACATAATTGAGGTTCAAAGTTGAATTTCACTTACGAACAATACTTACCAATCGTTTGTGCACGTGTTTCTATTACTATTTTGGTTAATATTCATTTGAGCTACAGAGAAAGACAAGAACAAAACTCGAGATCAAAAATTTAAATCATCGTACCCCACTTGTACTAAAAAAAGCTCGAACTAATGATGAACTAAGTTGACAATACAAACAATAAGGTACAAAGTTTTCACCTCATTTCTCGAAATTCTCATGCCTCATCAACATATTAGATGTACGATCCCGAAACATTCTTTATAAGGGTATAGAAACCTCCCTATAGCAGATACATTTTATATATTAAAAGAAAACAGGTAAGGGAAAGCCTAAAAAAGACAATATCTACTAATGGTGGGGTTAAACTGTTACACGAACGACATGAATATTCTGAAATTTATATAAAGTTTGAATCGAAGAGTGTCGAACAAGAACCCGCGGTGCAAGTACTCTATAAAGTAATCTTTTTTTATAGTATCCATTGAAGTACAAGTATTCCCTACCATCTTCTCTTTCACTTTTGAGGAACTCATATACTGTAAAAGCCAAATTTTGTGTGTATGTACAGTGATTTACAGAGACCTCGTTTATTGATTTGAAATGAAGTTAATGGTATGGCTTCAAAGGGCCTTCTGGTCAAGCCTTTCATTCCAGTTCAGACAGCGAATCAAGCTGCGAAACCAATCACCAGTTTGATCACACTTGTTTACAGTTGGGAGTGGATGCTTGCTCATGGATATCCGAACGGAATCGCCTCTTGAGAGTTGCTGCCTTCTCTTTCCATCGAAGGAAACCCAAGCGTTACTCCGTGCGTCCTCCGGGATCTGTCAATATAAGTAGAGTCATACTCAATTAGAACGCTAAGCTATACGAGACTAAACAAGTATGCATTTGATCCCTGTATCGTATAAGTAAAGTAATGTATGAGTTTCTACGAGTCTGTGTCGATACTTGAAAGCGTTGTTCTAAATGAAATCACCTTTAACTCGAGTCGTGCAGAATCGGGAAGTATAACTGGTCTAAATGAGAGAGAATGGGGACAGATTGGAGTAAAAAGCATGCAAGGAACGTTCGGATGCACCTGCAAGATAGAAGAATATCGGCTCAAAGATGCATAAAGAACTTCATCCTAACGGCTGGCTCTCCATAATCACATTCAAGAACAATATTTTCCATTATGCATACATATGGCCAGAAACCACTTCAACAATGTGGCATGTGAAAAGAAATCAGTATAATTGAGAAATCCAAGAGTATTCACACAAAGCTCTTCTGACTGTAACAGCCCAAGCCCATTATTAGCAGATAATGTCCGTTTTGGCCCATTACGTATCGCAGTCAACCTCACAGTTTTAAAACGTGTTTGTTTGGGAGAGGTTTCCACACCCTTGTAAGGAATGTTTCGTTCTTTTCTCCAACCGATGTGGAATCCATAATCCACCTCTTTGGGGGCCCAGCATCCTCAGTGGCACACTGCTCGGTGTCCTCGCTGATACCATTTATAATAGCCCAAGCCCACTACTAATAGATATTGTCCGCTTTTACCCATTACGTATCGCCGTCAGTCTCACGGTTTTAAAATACGTCTGTTAGGGAGATGTTTCCACACCTTTATAGGGGGAATGTTTTGTTTCTCTCTCCAACCAATGTGGGATCTCACAATCCACCCCCCTTGGAGCCCAACGTACTCGCTAGCACACCACCCAGTGTCTGACTCTGATATCAGTTGTAACAGCTCAAGCCTACTGTTAGTAGATATTGTCCGTTTGGACCCGTTAAGTATCACGGTCAACCTCACGGTTTTAAAACGCGTTTGCAATGGAGAGGTTTCCACACCCTTATAAGAGATGTTTCGTTCCCCTCTCCAACTGATATGGGATCTCACATCGACAATGTTGTTGACCAAACTATATCTTGGTGTAAACTATCTAATATTTTTGCTTCCCACAATTATACCTTCCACATTGAAAATTCGGAA